TTTACTGTGGCTTATAGAATTCATCATAAAATATAACATCTATCCATCAGGTGTATTGCGATGGACATTCTAACAATGATTGATAAGAACACAAGGAATGTTAGCTTCACATCCATATATCCATTATTTGCTGTGATGCCAGATGGATCAACAGCACACCTGGATTCACTTGGTAGTGTATTGCTCCATCATGAGAATTTCAGACACATTCCATTTACTTGTACAAATGAATATGTTAGGAGTTTTGGAGGTCAACCGTACGAGCGACTTTAGCGAAAAAATGAAAGGAAATATCGAGTGGTATATATATATATATATATTTATATGTAAACACCACATACTCGAGGTAGATACAAATAGTAATCCAATGCTTATGGATGAATAAGTCACTACTTCCATAGAGTAAATCCATGGTAAGCAGTAGATACCAAGTTATATGGAATGTCATATGTTGAATGTTCACGAATCTTATGTCGAAGCAAAAAGTCACAGTCGTCTGAAAGAGTCGGGGATTTCTCTTAAACTTTCCACTCAGCCACTTAGTGTGCGGCATCCGGCGTAGGAGTAGTTTGTATTCTTTGAACTGGTAACTTCTCTGGGGAGCTTCTAACTGGTTGCTCACTTGCAGTATACAATTCTCTCCTAAAAAAACATCATTCCGAAGCATTCAAGCTTACTCTGAGATATTACACATTAAAAGCTTTGACTCAAAACGAAGCTAGAGACGAACGGAGTTATGAAGAACTCTTGCCATAACGAGTATGAACAATCTTCAAAACAAACAGGATTATCTCATTAGTTGTCTGTCATTATTCCCCAGAAAAATTAAGAATTCCAAAGGGGGTCCCGTTTTGTTGGATTAAACAAACAACTACCGATAGATCGTTGTCTCCGATTTTGAAAGGATGAGTTACCTTGATTGAACCATATGGGTCTGAAAAGTTATACGTTTATCCCACTGTCTCCTGACGTTTTCTTCAATTCGAACTATATTCCAGCCGACCTATGAAACCGCAGCCCTTTGGTATCTCAGTCCTGCATTGATAAGCTGCACAAGTCCGGTTTTTTTAGCAAGATGAGTATTTCACCATATTTTCATGGCACAGTTCAGAAAAACGATGTGAACGGCATTCGGTTACAGATGGACAATCGCTTATTTGTTTTGCCTAGATCACCGTCAGTGAGTTAAAGTCGGTCTTTTCACCTAAATTGATGGTGAAATAAGGCCAACATCGCAGATGAGAGCAACAGCCATTTAAACGGAGACGTTTTGCAAAACCCAAATGTTTTATCCTTACAGCAGGTTTCCTAAACAAGATGGTTAAAAAAGAAGTATCTCCACAATGGAGGTCTGCTATGGTTGAAGGGCAGTGGCCAGGGCGTAAAAACTTTGTCACCGAAAAGATCGTTTGTTATCCGGATGGGTCATCTAAAATTGAGGTTTTTACTGTAAGTCGAAACTGGTTTGCAGCATTCCTACTACCACAGAAAGGCGGCTGCATGTACCCATTGTAGTCATGAGAACGAAGAAGGTTGAGGTTTTTAAGTCGAAACTGGTTTGCAGCATTCCTACTACCACAGAAAGGCGGCTGCATGTACCCATTGTAGTCATGAGAACGAAGAGAAGAAGGAACAAAGCTTGTTTTCTGTGATTGTTCATCTTGGCTAATACATCACAAATTTATGTGGTAGTAGAAATCACGTGGAAAAGGTTAAGATCGGGGCTACACTTTAGGGAAATAGAAGTCAAAGAAAGGGGGTTGGGTGAGGGGTAGGTCAATGGGTCATGACGTCAATGTCAGACAGACTTGTGGGACCAGATGTTTCGTAGGCCAGTT